AGTCCACCCACTCTTGATATTATTGGTGTTTGTTACTATACTAACAGTTGTCAATTGCCTTTTGTGGTATAAGCTGAAGAAATTGGCTATGAGAGTTTTGGCCTTGCCTAAGGTGATAAAATATGAAAACTTAAGACCTTTGTAAAGAAATTTACAAAGTTTAAAGAAAAGGGGGGAATGAAAGGGTTAAAGCCAAGATAGACAAAGCCACTGCATCAAAATGCCTCCTGAAAAGCCTAGGGGCAAGGAGGATATTTAAATATCTTAGTCACTAAACTAAACAAAAGAAAGGCCTTTGTGATTTAGAGAATAGTTAGAACGGTTGTAAGATAAGGGGCCTCCGGGATAATCCCATCTCAGACAACTGGGCCTTGGGAGAACAAATGCATGGAAGATAGGAAGTCACAAAAGAATGACGACAGCCTTGAAGGACACAGTTTATGTAATGCTAGGACTGAGTTTGCGCAGAAGCAAAGGTCAATCAGCGAACGCAGTGAAGAAGACTACGAGCCTTCATCTGAAGACCCCCAAAGACCACCTGAAGACCACCACGGGAGACGACTGCGCATGCGGATCGGACATTTGCATATATTAATAAGTTCCAGGAAATCTCATGTTTATGTAAATGATTTCACGGAAATCCTGTGAATATGTATGACTTTATAGTATATAATCTCTGAAAGTCTACCAAATCAGCAGAGCACTCATGGTGGAGAATCCCCAGTGCTGCCCAGCGCTGCAATAAAATGCCTGCTTAATAACACTCTGTTGTTACTGAGTTTCATTACATCGGTTTCCTTACCCAGCCGCACCTAGCTTCCCACCTCGGTGAGGAAAGTTAGAAAGCAAGGGGGTTCGGAGAACACCAATCTTTGCATCACCCATGAGCAACGTGGTTGATGCTCACCAGTGCAAATCCAGGTCTGTACTGGTGCTGGCCAAACTGTGCTGCAGGAGCCATGCAGGCGAGGGGTGCCCCAGGAGAGGGGTGCCCCAGCTTCATGGGGGGAAGGACCCCCTTTCCCATCTCCTGGGCTCCCCAGGAGGCATCACCAGCAAGCGCCCAGCCACTCGCAGCAACAGGACAGGCTAAATTTAGCCTCACCCCTTCCTGAGATCATAGGATGCTGCCACAGTTCATCAGCTGTCACCCTCTGGAGCCCGGCAGCTCTGCCTAGCGCTGGGGGTTATCTATAGCACAGCCTGTGTCCCGTGTGCCCCCCACCAAACGACCCCCAAAAGGTTATGCCGGCACGGGACAGCGGTGCGGCCGCAGCACAGCACCGAGCTTTCCTGGAAGCTGAGGTCCCCAAGGGGCTGGTTCCCGAGGGGCTGGTCCCCACTGCTGGTCCCCATTGCAAAGCCAAGAGCCAGTTTCATGGGTGTCACCCAATTGTACCCCAGCCCC